TAATTTCACATTACATTGTATAGCATTTTACCTCTGTCTACAGGAACACCAGGACGTCGAGCAGAACTGATCACTACAGCCCTCAGAATCTCTAATCGATTGAAATCTATTGATAGTATAATTGATTGATTGATCGGTTTCTCAACGCTATGGTGAACTAGTTCAATTTACTGAACACTATGACACGTATCCAGAGGGCCTGGCCACAACTGCGTATCCTATCATTACAACTTGCATGTTTATTAATAAAAAATTATAATATTTTGGGTGTTTATTTAACGCATTTTCTCCATCTCTACATTATCATCACCATAATACGTTCGTTATGCATCCTCATCGTTCTCGTGTATGAGCAGGAACATTCTGGGTTGATCGTAGCTGTTGGCCATCGGCTTCTCGGGCTAATCCGAAAACCCGATCGATCGGTCGTCCAAACCAGGACATCATAATATATATTAAAAATAAGAAAGAACAAGAAAACGACTGCTAGTATGCCACAAAATTGTACAATTATTGCACAATTTCGAGAGCAGGCCAGACAGCTGGATATGTTAGATGTTAGACCATGGATATGTTACCAGACTTAGCAGATTAGAAAACAATACTTAACCAATTATTTTACGAGTGTAGATTCAAATGGAATAGGCTTAGTCGTTGGGGAACAAGACTTCATCGTATTTTTCACTTTTTTTTTCTCTTGTCGTACAGTGGCACATACATGTCGGCCAGGAGTGAAAACGCACAGTAAAATCTCATCTCGTGCTCGTGGCGATATGCTCGTACGTGTGCTGTAATGTGCGCACGTAATACAATCTACGACAGATATAAAAATTTACGGAGGTGGTGTGGGGGACGACCCACCCAACGTCCTCTCACCACCCAAATGCCCGCACTAATGCAAAGAGAATTCAAGATACATGCATCGAGCGGAGCAAGAACGTTCGTGCGGAACAACGTTCGTACCACACTCCAAATTATGGTGAGGATTATGAGCACTTCCTGACTCGTTGAGCTAAACGACACAACTACGCTGAATGGTCAGCTGCAATAAAGGAAAAAAGCCACAGTATCGCCGCAAGGTCGAAGCAATGAATTCGATAGCAACAACTTTGAATGTAACGCTGAGAACGGCAAGCAGATTGAAACGTGGAGCGCGCTGCTCACGCACAAATGACCCACGAAAAGAACATACACAGGACGAGAGCGAACTAACAACGTTTACCAGTCGACACTTAATGCACTGTTTGAACAAAAACGGAGCACGAAATTTAATCACAAGTACAAGTGTATGTAAACTAACAAGCGTCCCAGTTGTTATATTCGCTGTGTATTAAAAAGCGCGCTCTTTTCGCAAACGGGTCCTGTGTAGCGAGCGAAGCGACCTTTGTGGCATCGGCAACTACCGCAATCGTTCCGTTCCGGTTGAAGCCGAAGGTACCACGATTCTCCCCACCGGAGAATAAGCGCGCGCGCACAAGCTTCTACCCCCCCCCCCCCCCCCACGCTTGAGAGATAAGAGGGCGTCGGCGTATCGTGACGAGCTGGACGCCAGGCGTGGCCGGCTTTTTCTTTTCTTTCCTTTCTTGAGTTTTCATATATATAGACACGTATACATATACGGCGAATGACAGCAGCGGCGACGGCAAAAAACCAGCCGAGACTGTCCATATAACTGCCATCGCAAAAATAACGGTCATTAATGTCAGAAGAGTGAGGTACCGTGACGTTTCTCTCGTAAGCGTCATCAAGGTTTCAATCTTCATCAATTTTCACATATGCACAATATCTACCTGCATTTTTTTTATCCTCCGACTAGACAGTAGTTTTTTTTTTTTGTCTCTTAATCATCTGAATCAAGTGACTTTCTCTCTTTTTTTTTGCGTGGCACCAACATGGTTTAATAGGTGCAGGTGCTTCATTCCAGAGCCATAGAACATCGAAGTCATTGCAAGAATTTTTACTAGACAGCTTGTGCCAGCTTTGAAAGTGTCGTCCATGCGCGCCTTAGTATGAAACTTGTTGCCAAGCGGCTGTTGCGAAGAAGAAAACACGAGGCTGGTGATATCTATGAAGAAGAAAAAGAAGAATCCTGGAATCTCCGTGTGCCACACTTCCAAGGTTCTGTCCTGCTCTATTCTACGCTTCTCTTTCTGAGAGCTGTCACATCGACCTTCAAGCTCTAGTGAAGCAGAAACGCGTGGCAACCGTTCTCCATGGCGAGGAAGCGCAAGCCAAAGGACGTGAGCTTGACGACCACAATGCACGACGAACGAGAGACAAGCGCTCCTGCGTCCCCAGCTGAGCCCGTGGCGCCAGCCAGTGCTGGGACACGGAAGGAAAAGAAGCTTGACCAACCAACCGCCAGTTACAAGAAGGCCCACCGCAATAAGGCTACCAAAGGCGATATGTCGGCGCCTACGGAACGTGTGCAGGACACAGCTGTAACCGAACCTGGGAGCCACCCTGAGTCCGGGAGCGATGACCGTGCTAGACAGCCGACTACCAAGGTGGAAAAGACTCGGAAGAAAACCACAGACGCTGACCATTCGCCATCGCAAGTTCCTAATGCCGAGCCCGCACACGTCGCACCCACAGGCCCTGTAAGAGCGGTAACGGGGTACACGGTATGATCTGGCCATAGGTATCTAGAACTTGGGAATAGCTACCTAAAAGGGACCCTGCAACACCTTTTTCACCATGGTCAGAAAACGCTGTCGATCCGTAGCCGAGGCTCCTGAAAACACGCGAGCCAAGTATTATAACGCAGCACGCGGTCTAGAATGTATGATGAATTCTTAAAGTGATGAACAAAATCACCTCCTTTTCTATCCATAATTCCATATACTTAGGTGACCACGCCATACACCCTAATTTACGGCCATTGACTGATTTGAGCGTTATGGGCATAGCCTCCGAGATAATAAACGCGCAGTCGCACGCCCACAATCTCGAAGGTCATCTTGTGGACTGCATAGTTACTGTTTAAGCCGTGGGAGGCCGCCAATTGCCGGCGTGCTCTAGCGTGCTCGCGATCCCACTCAATGCAAGCCGTGCGTTAAAAAAAAAATGGTGCTCAAGGTCTTAAAGTGAGCGTAACGTAACTTCACTCGCCCATGCTATCCCATCATGTTTAGTTACAGCACATTCTTCAGGACGAGAGAAAAAAATTACAGCATGCAACTAACTTCTACTTCCACTCGTACTTGACCGATTCTAAAAAATTTCGGGCAGCTGATTCGTGATGCCGTAACACTACTTTAGCAAAGCGATTCGATAGTTACTCCAAGAAGCGTTGCAGCGCCTCTTTAAGACTTTACCACAGGAAGAAGAGACGCACAATTAGGCTACTGCCACGAGGTTCAGCTGTTGGTCCACACAAATAAAGGTGCCAGGATTTCTGAAAAATTGGATTGCAAAGCACGTTTCCCAACACTAATCATGGTAGTAGGAGAGTACTGTATGGGAGAGAGGGGGCGTTCGAATGATACAGCTTTCATTTAGTGTTTTGCAAAAGAAAAAAAAGACCAAGTCCGTCTGTCAGGTGACGAGCACGAGCCGCCGCGGCTTGTGAGATACTGCGGGTTACGCCTGACGCAGGACAAGGTTAAACTAATAAAGCTTCGACTCTAAAAAAAAAAGTTGTCACGTGCACGTGATTTGGTTCCAAATTTAGTGATTTTCGCTGATAAGGCCAGTTCTGAAGAGCGTTATAGTATCAGGCTTTTTTCGGACTGTATCCGATTCATTCGATAGTTCTAGAGCTGATCGCACATCCTCGCAACAGGGTGTTGCATCGAGCCAGTTGGTATTTATCTATGTGGGCACGGATTGTATTTTGTGCTGTTTGCCTGTGTCCCTCGTAATTTCGTTTTTTAGCACGTTAGATTCCAATAAATAATTTTTATCTTAATTTTCGTGTCGCCTGCCACACGGCGCTTCAAATACTGCGAAGCAAATATCGTATATATACAATAGATTCGAACAATCAAATCAGCTGGCTGACTAATGGCTCTAACGAGTGTTCGTTTTATATATTGTGTAGGTATTGCGTTAGCGCTTATCTCTCCGACTTCCAGTGTCAAAAAGCACAGCGCTCCTTATTCATCGCAGGAACTTCCAGGCGAACGCAACGGTGGTCCCGCTGCTGGCACCGGCACTTCCGAACCGACTGCTAGTCGTGCGCGCGACACCTCGATGCCGATTTTTTTCATCGGCATCGCACTGCTAGCTCTCTTTATAGTTCTCTCGAGAGCGCTCCTACCCGCGACGGACGACTGCGTACCCCTCAAAGAAACTTGTATCGGCGAACCGCAGCGTGTGCCGGCACAAGCCCCTGCTGTCGAGTACTCGAGACATCTGCAACGTTCTCTTTCCACAAAGACCAATCCGTGCTTCAACTTCTACCGCTACGTCTGCGGCACGTCCGAGAGTATACTGACCATGACTAGCGAGCGTCTCAAGACTGAGGTACTACGCGCCTGGATCGACGACCGCGCGTTCAGTGGCAGGAATGGGACCAACCAAAGGACACTGCTCGCAGCCTCACTGTTTCGCTCCTGCGTCTCTGGAGACGGTATCGAAAGCGGCTCATCTTCAGACAGCGTGACTCAACTTCGAGAACTTATGATGAACGGGGCCTCAAGTGGCCAAACGTTGCGGTGCCTGCCCCGCCACGACAGGACCTCCTGGAAGTGCTCGTTGACTGGACTTTCAACTGGAACGTTGACGTTTGGTTCTCGCTGCGCGTGATTCTGGCCGACACGTCTCGCCGCAACTTCACGTTCCACGTGCGTCACAGCGCGTCGCTCCAGCGCTGGTCCAAGGAACGAGCTTCTATGCAAGACGGGGAACAGTACATGGCCTTCGTGACCGCATACGCGAGAGAGCTCGGGGCCAGAGAATCCGAAGAGTTAGACCCCATGGTCATGGACGTGGTAGAAGCGGAGCCGAAATCGAGAAAATTCTCTCCGACTTTCCTTGGGACAGTTCCAAGCAACAGAAAAGCGAAACGAATGTCGAGCCTTGGAAGAGCGCAATTCAGCGTAAACTAGGGCATTCCGCTTACAACGTCACCGCGGAGGACATCGTAGTCATCTCTAGCCAAGGCCTTATAGCCGCGGTGGCTATTTTGCTGTCCAGAGACGATAAAAGACAAAAGTACTATTCTTTTATAGGCTGGTCAGTGGCCAGAGAGCTGGGTCGCCTCGTCAGTGGTAGTTTGAGGGCGCTACACAGCACGAAAAGCGCGGACCTGCAGCTGTGGTGTTGGGACAGGATGGACAAGTTGAGCATGACCACCCTGGTAGCACCAGTGTACCGAAGCCTGTTACTGGGTAGCGCTGTGGCGCTTATCGCGAGAGATTTTCGACATGCTTCGAAGCAGTATTGCTCGCGCGCTTAGCAAAAATTTGTGGATGGACAACCGGACGAAGGAGATCGCGTCCTCGAGGATAGCGGCACTGTCGCTCACCTTCGGTTTTGCCAAGGGAATCATTCCTCACGTTCCCCTCGAAGAACGGACCGTCACAAAGCGACGGAATCGGAACGACTTTCGAAACTTGGCAAAGAGCAGCCACGGCTTACCAATCGGTACGTTCATAGAAGTGACACAAGCAACGAGTGATACTCTTGTTTCGTTGTAAACACTACCAGTCAATGTGTTTTAAGTAATAAAACTAGTACGAAATCGATGGTCCTGGTTAAGGCTAAGAGTTATATTGAATAACAGTGATACCAATGCGTGAAACACGTCCGTGTGTGCACGCACTGTCTCGTTAACATTAAGGTAACGGGCTAATTTACTGTGAGTATAATTAGTAAAAATTAACTTAGTGAGTTCATTGAAAGAGCGGAAAGCTTTGTTGTCAGCAGCAGGGATTGTTGTGAAACCTTGCCGACGTAACAGATCTGAACCACAAGCTGCTCTCTGCGTAGATTTTGAGATCCGCATCGTCAGTGCGATGAAACGTGAAGTTAACCCAAAGAACACACCAGACCGCACAAACACCGAGGCATGACGACCCCTCCAGTCACCTCAGTCAGTGACTTAGGCGGACATTTTTTGCCGGGGGGGGGGGGGGGGGGTCACCTTTCTGGTCTGAAGTGAGGGCTAGGCGTCTATATCATTTATGCACCTACTCTTGTCTTCGTTTCTTTGCGCTGTACATATTTACCACAAATAGTCATTTTGCAATCTGTATGCCATGGCGAAAAACAAAATAAAGGGGGGGGGGGGGGGCGGTGTACCACCCCCTAGCTACGCCACTGACTTCAGTTAACGAATAGGGTCATTTACAATTTTTGCCACACCTATTGGTGTGCCAATCTGCATGCCTATGAACTCGAATACCACATTAGCTATAGTGTAACATTGAACATTCATCATGAACGATATGTTGACGAATAATTATATACTAAATTCACCTCACCCTGTTCATACAAGTATTCTAAACGTACTCGCTGAGCATTAGCAACACATAGCCATTGACGTGCATCAGTAATTTAATGCGTGAACTTCGTTAGTGGCATGGCGCGCTGCTCCCTAAGGAATCCTGGGACTCTCACGTTTACGGCTTTTTTTTCTTGTGCTTTTAACATCCTAGTTGTCCCTGGAAGCGAAGGCGAGCTTGCATTCCCACGATCTCCTGATGAGCAACGCTTTCTTCCACGACGACACGGCCACGGTGCAGCTGCAGCCGACTCTGTTGCAGATGCCCCTGTACGCAGACTCGCTGCCCGTCAGCTTACGGTACGCGGGCCTCGGATACGTCCTTATGCACCAGATGATGCACGCCCTCAACGATATCTTCCCCTTGCTGGAAGGGGACTTACAAGACCCAAATTTACAGAGCCATCCTTCAATCCAGTAAGCGGCTGTATATTCTTAAGGGTAAAAAAAACGCTTTTGTAATGAAACTGTGCACTGTATACACAGCAGAATGTTTTAAGAAACGTTTTGTAACCATATTACACAGAAAAAAAATTGTTGCCATATCAGTGTGGCACTAATTTGACGGTAAGATTATCTCTAAATACCCATATTTTGCCTATCTCAAGTTTGTTTGTGAATGCGTGCAGTGCGCAATAGTGTCGCATATATAGAGCCCCTTAGAAAATTACGAAAATGCGATAGGGTATTACGACACCACTGCTCCTTTCTCGCTCGTTGTGCTTTAGCCGCTCCCTCTTCCAGTGACAGTGCGTACCCCGAACGAAAGGTACATCGCTGACAACGCGAAGGCAGAGAGTCAATTGGAAGGCAAAAAAAATGCAGTGCAAAAAAAAAAGACGGGGGCAAAGAAAGGGCGACGCACAGCGCTCTTTGTGCGTCGCTCTTCATTGTCTCCATCTTCTTTTGCGCTGCGTTCACTCCAATGTTACACAAATACACCAAAGCTTCGACGCTAAGTCAGTGAGAGACAACAGTGAGGCGTTTATTGATTGATTGATTGATTGATTGATTGATTGATTGATTGATTGATTGATTGATTGATTGATTGATTGATTGATATGTGAGGTTCAACGTCCCGAAACCACCATATGATTATGAGAGACGCCGTGGTGGAGGGCTCCGGAAATTTCGACCACCTGGGGTTCTTTAACGTGCACCCAAATCTGAGCACATGGGCCTACAACATTTCCGCCTCCATGGGAAATGCAACCGCCGCAGCCGGGATTTGATCCCGCAACCTGCGGGTCAGCAGCCGAGTACCTTAGCCACTAGACCACCGCGGCGGGGCTAAAGCGAGGCATGGCAGCCACGCAGTAATTTTCGAACCATTTCTGCTGTTGGGGGGCCTTTATTGAAATTAGCAGTTGCTAAAACACAATGAGCGAGAAAGGAGACGCTACCAGGTGCGGTAATGCCGTATTTCCGTAACTTGTTGAAAGAGTATCTTTCCAGACTTGTGCACCCGAGATCGAATACTTGGGGATTCCGTTATTTTTCTAACCATTAATTTCATGACGCACGCTCAACAATCCCGGGCACCACTGCCATGGGGCATTTTAACTATGGCTAGGCAGGCACGCCTCTGTACAAACGATATCTACGTGTCCGTAAACGCAGGGAGCGCAACCGACGCGTCCGGTGTTTGCGGAACTTCCATCGAGAAGAGTCGGCGTCACTGGGCAACGCCCTCAGCCGCTACAAATACTCGGACTGGTTTCGCGGCTTCGCCACAGCGCCGTACCTGTACGAAGCGGTGTTCGAACCGTCGGGGAATGCCGTCGGGCGCACGAGCCGCGCCCAGCGAGAGGAACGGCTCGAGGGCATCGAAGAGCTCAGCGCCGAGCAACTCTTCTTCGTGGGCCTATGCTCGACGCTGTGCGCCAGCGGCGACTCCGACACCACCCCTGCGTTGGCCGAGGAGAGGTGCAATGTGCCGCTCATGCACATGCCGCAGTTCCAGAGCGCCTTCCGATGTGTCGCAGGTCAACCCATGATCCCGACCACGCGTTGCTCCTTCTGGTGACTACTTTGGCAGAGTGGCAATAGCCGCCCAAGCGAATAGACGCTGTCTTACGTCAATTTTCAACGTGTGCCTACCTTGCATGCTGTTTTGTAAACACGAACACCATGAAAAACTCAAAGCACGAATCAATATCACGCTCAAGTTTCGCTAAATGCTGAGGATGTACTTATCACGATTTTTCTTACGCGCTGGCCCAGCATTTCAGTTCAATATTTTGTTCGATAAAGTATTGTTTCTTTAGAGTTTCTTGGTTGGTGGATACTACGTCAACGTCTTTCGCTGACACGTATTCTCGCGCTCGGTCTGAGCTACACCGCACGGGTACGTGGCCAAGCGCACTGTAGGTAGTCTACTGTAGGCTAGGTTGTACAGCAGCGCCGATCGTGATATGTTTTCAAGCCACCTGGCGTGAGTTTGGTCGTTCCTGCGACTGCGCATCTCTCCGAATTGCTTTCACGCTCATTCTCGTTTTGACCTGCGGTGGTATCAGCTTCACGAATGACTATTTCGAGGGTGTATAGCAAGCAAGCGGGAGCGACGCACGCTCGCAGGGGCAGTCGACTTTCGCCAGGTGCAAAATACCTCCAAGTAACTCGTAAATATGCCATTATCGGCGCCACTGTGCATACCTTGCAGTGCGCTCGGCCACGCGCTGTCGTGGTGAAGCTCATACTGAGCGTGATAGAACTACACTTACGCTTCGCCCGATCGTACCACATCATTTATGTCCTTCTGTAGAGCGTGCTTTGCGGCACGCATACTCACCTTGAGGCGAAGCCCACACTGGGTAGCACTTGTGTGACAAGATGTAGGTTCGGTCGCTGCCAGCGGCAAGTTATCTTCTCGTTTACATTTCATTGTTCATATTGTTACGTGACTTCGGCTGACTGCAACAGGGCATAGTGGGACATACTCAAGAAAGGTGCCTCATACTGATAGTGAAGAAGTGGACGTTGTCGGTGAGCTGCGTTGTGGCTGCGGACTGACTACTGTTATTTTCCACGTAACATTTTGATGGAGGTGCTGGGTGCTCTTTTGACAACGGAGCTACGCAGTGGACGCCTCCTTAAGTCTGCTACCATGGCTCCGGGTGAGGATACGGCTTCGCCACCTACCTCGGCAACGACAGCAACCCGGTACGTCTCCCTAACGCAACCCCGTGATCCCGGTACCTTTACTGGAGAGCACAACGCGAATGTGGACAAGTGGCTTAGTATGTACGAGCGCGTCAGCAAGCAATATGGCTGACACCCAACCGTTATGCTTGCGAATGTCATTTTCTATCTTGACAAAACCCCTCGCATCTGGTTTGAGACCCATGAGCACAAAATCACAAGCTGGGAAACGTTTAAACAACAGCTCCGCGACCTCTTTGGCAACCCGTATGGTCAACAGCTTGATGCCCGAAAGCAGTTGGCCGTACGTACACAGACGTCCACTGAGCCCTACTTGACTTATATTGAAGACGTCTTAACGTTGTGTCAAAGGGCCGATGCTAACATGACTGAGGCCGACAAGATTTCGCACGTTTTAAAAGGAATCGCCGGCGATGTGTTCAGCCTCCTTGTATTTTCGAACGTAACGACCATCGACGCCGTGATCAAAGAGTGCCACCGTCTCGAGCAGGCGAAGAGTCGACGCATTTTGCAGCAGTTCCAGCGCCTACCCAACACCGTGGCAACGTCGTCTTGCGAAGCCACTCCTTGTCATCCGTCAACAACCGAAGACGTGACGCGCATCGTCCGACGTGAACTCGAGGACGCTTACCCGGCTGCCAACAAACCGACGTTGCCCGACGCCTCAACGCCAGCTGTCCCCTTGATCCAGGCTGTTGTCCGCCAGGAATTCGCTAACCTGGGTATCCTGTCCACTGCACCCACCCTGGATAATACTGATCCCTCGATAGCTTCTGTGGACATGAAACGTCGCCGTCCGTACTCTATTCGAACCAGAAACCCGTCTGAATGGCGTACAGCTGATGATAAGCCAATCTGCTTCCGCTGAGGTCGCGCGGGACACATCGCTTGTTACTGCCGCAGCCAATGGCCATCTATGCCTTCTGGCTCGTACGCCGCTTACAATACCCTCATTTCGTCCACCAAACCACCGTTATCCGACCCGCACTGAGTCTACAGCATTTACTGCCCCTGAGGACTACGGCCACCCTGTCCCGTCGCCACGGCCGCCTCAAAGCCGCCTTTCTGGTTCAAATACGCGTCGCCGCTCTCCCTCGCCATCGTTTAACCACCGCATGCCCCCGGAAAACCAGGCTGCGCAGCTTCTGGAGGTGAAGCTGCCTTGTCGACCTTACCCAAAAATCCTCTGTTGCCCTTACGTTTGTACCGGAACACCGTTGAAGTATATGTTGATGGCACACCTGTTGAAGCTCGGATTGATACGGGCACTCACGTCTCTATTATGAGTTCGCCTTTTCGTCGTCGCATGAAGAAGGTCCTCATGCCCCCCTTGACCAGTGTCGTCCAAGTTGCAGATGGCGCAAGAGTCCCTGTCGTTGGTATGTGCACAGCTCAACTTACCGTAGCTGGTCATCAAGTGGTCGTCCTTTTTACCGTGCTTGCAACATGTACCCACGACCTCATACTAGGCCTCGATTTTCTTGCCGCCAATTCTGCTCTGATTGATTGCTCCGCTGGTGTTCTCCTCCTTGAACATGCCACAAATCAGTGATGCCCCAGTACCAACCTACATGCCGATTACAATGCAGCGACTTTGTTCACCTGCCTTCCAAAACTGTGACGTACATCGATTTTCTGTGCTCACCAGCTGTGCCCGACGGTGACTATAACGCTACGCCTCTTACCGACAAACTCCTTGCGCACAATGTTCCAGTGCCCTACACGGTGCTCAGCATCACAGATAACAGAACTTGTCTACCACTTTTAAATTCCGGCTACAAGAATCACGTGCTTCCACAAGGCATTTCTGTGGCCCACCTGTGTCCGTTGCTCGATTCACAAATTGAAGTGCATGCCTTAGACACACTTGTTTCACCGCAGCGCACACCACTCGCAACACATTCGGGCAGCCGTCAAATTGTAGACATGATCGCCACTGATCTTCCGCCTCCGCAAGTTGAAGCCCTACATCTTCTCGGGGCCTACCAGGATATTTTTGATTTTGGTGACCGACCTCTAGGGCAGACGTCCTTTGTCCAGCATCGCGTACACACAGGTGATGCCAACCCTGTTCACCACCGTCCCTACAGAGTGTCTGCTTTTGAGCGGAGCATCATTCACGAGGAGGTGAACAAAATGATAGGGAAGGACATTATTGAACCATCCTCCGGTCCCTGCGCATCCCCGGTGGTATTAGCTAAAAAGAAGGTCGGATCGTGGCAACTTTGTGTGGACTATCGCCACTTTAACAATATCATCAAAAAAGATGCATACCCTCTGCCCCGAATTGACAACGCCCTTGATTGCCTCCATAGTGCCGCCTGTTTTTCTTCCATCAATCTTCGTTCTGGTTATTGGCAGATTGCCGTGGACCCCTTGGACCGAGAGAAGACGGCTTTTGTAACACCCGATGGCCTCTACCAATTCAAAGTCATGCCTTTCGGCTTATGTAATGCCCCCGCCACCTTTGAACGAATGATGGACTCCCTGCTCCATGGATTCAAGTGGTATACGTGTCTTTGTTATCTGGATGACGTGATTGTGTTTGCTCCCACTTTTGAAGCGCACCTTGAGAGACTGTCTAAAATTCTTGATGTATTCCATCCCGCCGGCCTTCAGCTGAATTCATCCAAGTGCCGGTTTGGTCGCCACCGCATTACAATACTTGGACATATTGTTGACGCTTACGGCATATAGCCTGACACAGAAAAAGTTCGAGCTGTGAAGGACTTTCCTGTGCCAAAAACCACCAAAGATGTCTGTCCGCAGCTTTGTGGGGCTCTGCTTCTACTTTCGGCGGTTCATCAAAAACTTCGCGGAAATCGCTCAGCCCTTAAAAGATTTACTCAAACCAAATGAGACGTTTACCTGGGGTCCCTCGCAAGCAGCAGCATTCTCCGACCTGACCACTTTGCTCACTTCCTCTCGTGTTCTGGCTCACTTCGACCCTACGGCATCGACCGAAGTCCGCACCGATGCCAGTGGTTTCGGAATAGGCGCTGTGTTGGCTCAGCGACAATGTGGGCAGCATCGCATGATAGCTTATGCCAGCAGGCTGCTGTCCCCCTCGGAGCGTAATTATTCCATCACAGAGCGCGAATGCCTAGTGCTGGTGTGGGCAATCGCGAGATTTCGCCCTTACTTATACGGCCGACCATTTACAGTTCTCACCGACCACCACGCTCTTTGCTGGCTCGCCTCCCTCAAAGATCCCACAGGTCGTCTCGCCCGCTGGGCACTCCGCTTCCAAGAGTATTCTTACACCGTAGTGTATAAATCAGGAAAAGTGCACAAAGATGAGGATTGTCTGTCACGCTACCCTGTGGCCGACTGCGATCCTATGAGCACTGATTCTGTGGGTTGCGTCCTTTCCATCTCCCAGCTGCTTCATCTCGGGGACGAGCAGCATCACGATCCGGATATCAGCCGCCTAATACAACAGCTCGAATCTTCACGGCAAGACGCTTCTGTTCACATGTTTACCCTAAAGGACCACACCTTATATCGGCGTAATTTATCGCCCTATGGTCACGACCTACTTCTGGTCATACCAAAGTACCTGCGCTCCACAGTCCTACGAGATCTCCACGACGCACCAACCGCAGGTTACCTTGGTGTCTCTCGCACATTTGACCGTGTGCGCCACTGCTTCTACTGACCTGGCCTTTCACGCTCTGTACGTCGTTATGTCAACGCTTGCGAAATTTGCCAGCGTCGCAAAAAGCCGTCGGGACTCCCTTCCGGATATCTTCAGCCCATCGACATCTCATCGGAGCCATACTTGCGTGTTGGTTTGGACCTTCTCTGTCCCTTCCCAACATCCGCCTCCGGAAACAAGTGGGTCGCGGTTGCTACAGATTAAGCTACCCGCTATGCAGTTACGCGAGCCATGCCAACAAGCTGCGCTACAGACGTCGCTGATTTCCTACTACGCGATCTCATTTTAGTGCATGGAGCCCCTCGTCAACTGCTGATAGACCGAGGTCGTACGTTCCTTTCGAAAGTGGTTAACGGTATCCTGCGTTCCTGCTCTACCCAAGATAAGCTCACGACATACCTTCCCAGACAAACGGGCTTACAGAACGCTTAAACCGCACTCTGACAGACGTGCTATCAAAATACGTCTCG